GGAAAGAGGTGCCGACTTTCCCCTCCGGATTTATCTCACCACCCCCCCCCCGCCGCCAAGTCCCCGTTTTCCCGCGCGGTTCCTGTAGCTCGGGAAAGGCTGTTCAGACATCCGACTGCATTTATCCTTCCAGCAGAGAGATAGTCCGAGTCCCGGCCCGAGCTCGGCTCCCGAAAACCGGGACGGCGAAGGCCGAGCCCCCCGGCTTCGCTCCGGCCCCGCGGGCATCGGGCAGCAGCTTAGCACAACAGTACAGTACAAAGACCCCCTTCCTCCTCCCCGACCCATCCCAACCAACGTGGAAAAATATAAATTCCAAAATTTATGCAATAATTTAGTTAGAATAGCTCTTCTGGATTTGTGCCCCCCCGGCCCCGCTCCGGCCCCGCGGGCATCGGGCAGCAGCTTAGCACAACAGTACAGTACAAAGACCCCCTTCCTCCTCCCCGACCCATCCCAACCAACGTGGAAAAATATAAATTCCAAAATTTATGCAATAATTTAGTTAGAATAGCTCTTCTGGATTTGTGCAAATAAATTAAAACAACAAAATGAAAATTAAAACAATTATTCCAGACTGGCAGGCAGTAAAAAGAGCCCATGTTGCCTCCTCAGGTTTTGGCCAGGAAGACATCGTATCGAATGAGATTTTTTTCCTTTCCTTTTTTTTTTTTTTTCTTTCTTTCCTTTTTTAAGGTCTCTCTAGATAGGCCGAGCCTGTCATTGCCTAGGTAAGTCGGGTGCACCCTGCGAACGGGGTCCCGTCCTCGCCGAGAGCCGACCCCGAGAACACGCCGCATTCAGAATGCACCGCCAGGATGGGCTCCAGAAAACAGCGTTTTGGACAAGAGACGTCACAAGCACAAAGTGCACAATATTTCTGTTATTTACAAGTACACAGCAGTCCTTCAAGTTTCAAGTTTCGTAAAAAGGAGGAGGAAATTTAAAAAAAAAAAGAAAAAAGAAAAAAATCAAAATCAAAACTCCGAAACGACAAATCGAAGCAACAACAAAGGAGAGAGAGAGTTACCGGAACAAAACCAAACCAAAAAAAAACAAAACAAAAGCAAAAACCCTACGGAAGTGAGAGAATTACAACACAACCGCATCGCTCCAACGACAACAGTTAACATATCCACACGGGGCTTGGTGCGTAGTATGTACATCGGCTGGGGGCGGCGACGCAGACCAACGGGCTCACGTTGCTTTCCGGGCTGGACACATCCGCGCACACAGACACTCGGACACACACGCGCGCCGGCAGCGGGAGGCGGGCTGCCGGCCGGGAAGGGGGTCACCAGTCCGCGTCTTCCTCTATGTAATAGTCGGGGGCTGTACCGTCAAAGAGGCCCGGGTCTAGCGATTTCCGCTGCTTCCCTCGGGCGAATACCCTGGAGATGGAGCCGAATCCCATCTTCTCTTTCTTCTTTTTTCGTTTTTGGTCTTCGAGGTCCTCTAGAGACTGTGGGAGGGGAGACAGCAAACAACAGTGAGGATGGGGAAGGAAAAGGAGGAGGAGGGAGAAGAAGGAGGAGGAGAAGGAGAAGAGGGAGGAGGAAGGAGAGGAGAAGGAGGAGGAGGAGAAGGAGGAGAAGGAGGAGAAGAAGGAGAAGGAGGAGAAGGAGGAGAAGGAGGAGAAGAAGGAGGAACAGGAGAAGGAGAAGGAGGAGCAGAAGGAGAAGAAGGAGGAAGAGAAGAAGAAGGAACAGCAAACCGAGAAGAAGGAGGATAAGGAGGAGGAGCAGAAGGAGAAGAAGGAGGAAGAGGAGAAGAAGGAGGAGAAAAACAAGCAGGAGAAGGAGAAGGAGGAGGAAGAGAAGGAGGAGGAGGAGGAGGAGAAGGAGGGAAAAAGACATGAATGTCTGCAGCAAATGGAAAGGGACTGCCATGCTCGGGACCCTGCACCCTTTCCCGAAAAGCGCCAAACCCCATGAAAGCCGCTAGAGACTTTGCCACCGAGTTTTCCCGTCGCCCCCCAGGACGACGGGCAGCAGGGTAAAAAAACCAGTTATCCTGTAAAAGCCTTATTCTTCGGAGCTATGAGCTGACCTTGGGAGAGGGCGCTCTGGGACGTATATTCAGAATTACTCTGAACTGCCCCTACAACGCCGTCGCTAGCAAAACGTCACGTATTAGGAGGAGGAGTCGCTTCCTACCTGTACGATTGGGTTGTGCAAGTTCTTCTGTACCGGTCCAGGACTATCCCCCTACCAGCAGAAGGAGACAGATCAAATTGAAACAGCATGAGCACAGCTCCGGGTCCCACACCGCTAGAGCAAAAAGCATCCCCTTAAGTTGGACGATTCTGCACAGAACTCTCTGTTTTTCGGGTGCAAAGCAGCACGAGACTTTGCTAAGCTGTTGCCAGTTCTTGCAGGGAGGGGAAACGAAGATTCGGGAAAGGGGCAACCAAGCTAGGGCGAGCTCTGGTAGCTGCGTAAAATTAAGTCCACCGAGAAGGAAATTCATATTTCTATGGTTTCCGGAACATGAAAAACAAAAATTTTTTTTTTCTCTGAGTGATTCAGTGAGGCAAAACCAATTAAATCATCTAGATTTTTATCCTAAATTGACCTCAAGCAGCCTTCCCCCCATCGTAACGGCCCATAAAATATTCCCTTAGCCATGCTTAGCCGTATGCTCCCGTATACGGCTGTTTTCCAAGAAGCGCGGCCTCCTGCTGCCTTGCAGGGCGCATGGCCGCAGCCGTGACAGCGCACGGGTCAAAAGCCAACGCCAAGGCAGGGGCAGCGTGCAGGGAGTTTTGGCACACGTTAGGATCTATACCAAAGGCCCCAAAATGCCTGCAGCAGGCTTCAGATAGGCCCTAGGGGAAGAGGGAGACGGGTGGCACCATTGGCCTTGGCAAGCGCCTTACGTTGCAGAGCGAATGCGTTCGATGCCGGGGCGAGTTGATGTCGCTCGGCGTCGACGACCTGTCGCCTTCGGCGGCGGACGCGTCGGAGATGATGGAGGGCTGCCGCGAATGACAGGGGCTCACTCTGACAGCTGCAACGCAAGGGACGGACCGGGCGTCAGGGGGATTGATAGGGACATCACCACCGCCTCCCCCGCGAGGACCTTCACGCCACCCCGGCTACCTTTTCTTGGCAGCCCCTTCCAGGCGCAGCGGTGCCTGTGAAGGGCGAAGCTCACAGGTGAAGAGGAAAGCTCATGTATGAAGCTAACTACATCTCTTCCAGATAGGCAACAATTGCGGAGAAAAACGCGGGGGCTCGAGGGAAGCCTTCATTTCAAGCTGGGAAGGAGCCTTTGCTATTCAAAGGGCAATTTTCAAGCTTCAGACGGAAGTTGGCCGAGGTCTGCAGGCCAGATTTGCAGCTAGGGTTCACCAGCCTGAGCCACGCTGATGCCAGGCGAACGAAGCCAAACTGCACCAGCTGGAGAGTTGGCCCGTTGCCTCCAAAACTCACACGCGCTTAAACCTCTACCTTCTTCCCGCGACCAGCAAGCGCCGACCCCAGGGACATCCCGCTGGGGAGAGGTCGAGGCCGGGCGGCGCGGCGGTTTCCCAGGCTCACCTTGCCGGTCTGCCGAGTGCTGGGGGTGCGAGTGGTAGAGGGTCTGCTGGCTCTGCCGGATGGCGGCCGTGAGCGGCA